CGCGGGGTTCCTGCGAAGACGCGCGCACCCACGACGCGCGCACACACCGGGGGCGCCCAGCAGGTGTATGCGCACTTTAAGAGGCGTCACCTGCGCCTGGCTTTGAGCGTGCTGTAATCCCAAGTGCCCGAATGCCCATGGCAGCCCCTTGGAGCGCCTCTCCGAACTGCAGAACTCAAGCCTGACTTGTATTCGTCTTTTGCTACTGGTGTATGCACTACAGTTGTAAGTTTTTTCCTTCCTTAAAACATGTATACGCTTTTAGCACCATATATATATATATATTCCTTTATGCAAAGAGCTAAGGAAAATACATACATGCCACTCATTTGTGCAAAAAGAAGTCTGGGGTGAAGAAGCCAGAAATAAATGACACTGGCTACCTGTAGGGCTGGGTGGCAGTGGGTGGAGCAGGAGAATGGGAAGGGAGGGAAGGGGTGAGTACACCTTTTGGTATAACGGACTCCTTGAACCACAGGAATGCTTCACATGTGGCCAAACTTCACAAATATGGAAATCAGCTACTTTGCAGGGACTCCAAAATGGAGTACAACCCACCAGGAGACCTAACTTGCAAATTAAGAAGACCACACTGAAATGGATGGGGAAGAAAAGCACCAACCTTAAATAACTGGAAAAACAGTATTTGGATTGGGTCCCACTAAGGTTGAAGTGAAAAAGTTGAACATGCTGTATGTACTCTTGCTAACAAATGTCTCATGGGTTAGCAGTTCTGAGACTACTTTCTGTGTAGACAATGTCGAGCAAATATTTGGATGGCGACAATGTGAGGTTTCACACTTGGAGGGCTTTGTGGTGGTGTTGGATTTGTATTAGTAACAGCTCATGGTTTGAAGTGTGTGTGTGTGTGTGTGTGTGTGTGTGTGTGTGTGTGTGTGTGTGTATGCTCTGCTCAGTGAAGGGGCCTGGAAACAATGACCCTCCAATCATAATATTTTTAGGTTTAATAAGAATATAGTTAACTTTAGAAATTTCATTGTCTCCATTTTCTACTATTGTGGTTTTGGCCTTAGTACATTTGGCCTTAGTATATTTGGGTTTTATTTTTAGAAGCTTTGCTGCTGCTGATTAGCTTTATATATTAGAATCAGGAATTGGAAACTTTCATAGAAATTAGGATCGATATATAGGACTTTAGAATAGCCATTTTGTTAAGAGATTGTAGTCTATTGTTCCAAAAGGTGACCCATCGTGAACCTTGGACTGGGCCACATCCTGTAGAGCCCCGTGTGATCTTTGGACTGGGCCACATTCTTTAGGAATTGGCTTAGCTATAACTAAGAGCTTCCGTAGCATTGTGTAAGTAGTATTAGCCTAGAATAGAAAGGTAATAAAGTTTAAGTTAGTCATCATGGGTTTTGTGTGAGCTCTGGAAGTTATTGATTATCAGAGCATCATTAGGCTAGTAGGGACTGTTGCACTGCTTTTGAAGGCATTAACTAGCAAAGGGAACAATGAGACAATCTTGGGGTTTGTCCCTCCTCACACCTAAGCATCTGGTGGGTGGGGGATGCCCCTCTTGCACCTGGCTTTGTGTTCACGTGAAAGACTTGTGAGACTGCCTGTGTAAAATGTGGGGATAAATACCTGCTGTAACTTTCAATAAACGACTTCTGCTCATTTCACTGAACAGTTGTCCACTTTCTTTCCTTCTTTCTTCCTCTTTATATCTATCCTTCCATCTTTCTTTCTTTTAATATCTATCCCTACTACAGAATCAACTTCTGCAATAGATAGAGTCCAGTCTCTTTCTTTCTCCCCCTTTTTCTCTCTTTCTTTTAATATCTGTCCCTACAGATTCACCGACGCCGCCACATCTTCCAAGGGACTCCCCAAAACTTGCAGAGGCTGGCCCCCCGCAGATCCTGAGACGATGAGGTCTGCAGAGTCAGAGTGACCCACATCACGTCTTTCCAACAGCCAAACGGGCATCGACTGGGATTCCTGAACTAATCATGGGCCTTATCGACTCACAACGTCTCGAGACAGCGTGGAGTTGAAAAGGGCTTTCCTTGGGATAAGGTGCGGCTGCACCCCAAGGCCTGCTTTCTCTTCACGACACTTTCGCTTCATGGTGCCCCTCAGCGTCAGCTCTGTGCTCATCCTGCCGGCGAGGGTTCTGTCCACTGTAGCCACTTCGTGCTGTTCGGTGTCGTCACTCGGCAGCGACGGGGCTAGCTTGGTATGTATTTTAAAAAGCATCAGAATATCCTAATGGGATATATTTATTTAAAAGCATCATACAGGTCAACTCCAGGTGCAGAGGGCCAGGCACCCCCAGCTCTCCCCCGACGGCAGTGCCAGCCTTCTGGCCAACTGCTTGCCGATTCTGTCTCTACTACGATTCTCCTACTAGTTCTCAGGGTGGACAGGGTGTGCGTATTCAGGAGACGCGTGTGGGAATGCAGACGCAGAAGGTGAA